ACAAAATGCAAATACATGTGTGTGTATGTCTGCATTACCTCAGCAAACACAGGCCAGCTCCACAGTAGTTAAGAGTTGGTTTGGCAACCATCTCAGCTTCAATACCAAACCAGCCAAACCTGAGAACACAGTAAGAAGTGATTTGGATGGAGCTCACCAAAACCCGAACACCTATCTTATCACAATGAATAGAAAAGGGTCAAAGTGCTGAATGTGTAAATTTAACACTTGAAACACCACTAAATGATTAAAAACATGTGCTTATCACAGACAGTGCTGCTTTTGAGGTTTGAGCTTACCGAGAGCTTGCCCAGCCCATGAGAAGATTGAAAGAAGCCCATATCAAAAGGCCCAGCCCCAGACCAATAGTCTTCACTATTGGAACCACTGTGACGTTACCTACAGAGTAAAAACAAACACCTTATAGACCCACTCTGAAAATACGAGCATCATTATCAATGCAGCATCACACAATGTCATTGCTAAAAATAGTTCATTTCTTGAAAAGTCTGAAAATAGATTCAGAGATGTGTCGCCATAATATAACAAGTAAATTAACTGAATATTTACAGTTGGCACAAATAATTCAAATACTTAAATTAATTATGTTGGTATTACTTTTTCTATTTAGTATTTGATAGCTTTGTCCTTTTTCAAGCCATTAAATTGTAGCCCCAAATAAATTTAAATCAGCAAAGTTTTTAATTTATGAAAAATAAAAAATATATACATTTCAGCTTGTTTAGTTCAATGCATTGTAAATTCATGCCAAACATCCATGACACGTCACCTCAGAGCACAACAAACTGCACCAATTTCTGTGACCATTAAAGCTAAAAGACTGAAAATCCCTCAGAAGGAAATCATGTGTGGAAGCCCATCTTGTGCAGTAACAGGTTGGTATAGCATAAAATATTTTTTACAATGCATTAAAACATATTTACACCTTTACTGCTGATACAATGGAGTAAAGCTGTACTTACCTGTGGCCCAAATGGCTCCCCCCAGCATTGCCAGAGGCCAGAATTTTGGGCTCCTCAAGATTATATTTGCCACCAGAGACACAGTCCATATAGCAGCACACAGAACCCACTGGAAGAACATGCCTGAAACACACACACACACACACACACACACCACACACACACACACACACGTTAGAAAATGAGTCCCAATGTATTTTTATACACTGTCAGGATGTGGTGGCATATCTATATCTATACGTCGTAACAGTGGCGAAAAAATAAAAAGGGCACCTACTGCACGACATGGGGCCTCACCCGGCACAAAAGCTATGATGCCTTATGTATGATTCATGTTACAAAGTGAACTATAAACCCTTTCTATTTTACAAACTCCTCTGATGTACAACAGAAGGAACTACCAACAAAAACACACACGCAGACATGATAATGTCAGTGAGAGAGCTATGATTTGGGAGCCTAGTAGACGACAGCAGTCACTCAAGTGAATTGAAAAAGCAATTCACACCAAACCTTAAAGTCCTGTGGGCATTTTGTACAAACTACCCTCAAATAATTTCCCTAGGGACAGATCTGTTCACTTCAGCTTGATCTCCAATTTGAGTCTACAGATTAGCATAGAATCAGCTAAGCAAGGTGCCTGTTTAATTAGCTCCACTAGAAGGGCACTCATTAAGACACGTTATTGAATCTTCTTGCTATAGAAGCACATTATCATAATTTATTGTATGAAGGGTCACCCTAGAGGGCACTTAATCAGTTTTTCCCTATATGAAGGGCAGCCAATAGGACACTTCCTCTCATTTTTGCCACTCTAAAGGGCACATTTTATTGACACTTTTTTACCATGGAGTCACCAAGGAGGGGACAGTCACCACCCCTAACCCCCCTCCCCGCCACCAGCCAGAGAGTCATAATAATATATGTCCCTATATGCAATAATATTGTGTTCCATCACAAAGTCAGGATCATTCTGTTGGTTCTGTAGGTTAACTTGGTTTTTCCTACAAAAGTAATGAAATGTTTTAGTGTCTCACCATCCCCGGTGTCGATCTTCTTCACTGGGACGAAGTTGCTCCCATAGAAAACAACAGACACAGCGCAGGACACAAAGCCGTAGGTGAGGTCAGTGGAGGAGCTGTTGGTGCTGTTAGAAGCTCCAAGGAGGCGGGAAACATCTACCAGCGACTCCATCTCTGAAGTTCACAGTGTAATATGTCAATATATTGTTCATCACAAAAAAACACATACACTGGAACGTAAAAGACAATCACTTACGCACATATGTACTTCATACCTATGTACTCAGACTCATCCTCTGCTTGATAGAGTAGGCAGATGTATTATTTACTAAAAACCTAAATTTTGTGACCCCTGGTTCTTATCACCACCACTGTGAGGAAATCTGAACCATTTTAAACTATCAAAATATCCCACCTGCCATTTAAATACAGGTAATATTTTCTGGTAAGGTGATTTAAGCCATCAAAATACTGTATAGTCTGTGAAGGAATTACAGTATTTTATTGAACAGGCAGCAAGAGAGAACCACCACTGAGCACTGCTGAAAGATAGCAGGCAGATCACCTCCAACCATACACTTCCCCTTCACGGCAGACACCACACTGACTAACCCACAGCACAAAATGACACGTAACACATGTGCACATCATTAAACTAACAACAGCAACTTATTTACAATTAATGTCTCTCCTACTGTGAGAGTGACGCTTACCAAGGGCCTCTTTGCACTCTTACAGTAGAACAAGCTGGTGGAGGGATGGCACAATATCTCACCTGTAGTTTTAATGCTGGTAGTATTTTCCTATAAAGAGATTCAGGCCATCAAATTATCCTACCTGTAGTTTTAACGCTGGTAGTATTTTCCTATAAAGAGATTCAGGCCATCAGATTATCCTACCTGTAGTTTTAACGCTGGTAGTATTTTCCTATAAAGAGATTCAGGCCATCAGATTATCCTACCTGTAGTTTTAACGCTGGTAGTATTTTCCTATAAAGAGATTCAGGCCATCAGATTATCCTACCTGTAGTTTTAACGCTGGTAGTATTTTCCTATAAAGAGATTCAGGCCATCAGATTATCCTACCTGTAGTTTTAAGGCAGGTCGGATTTTCCTATAAAGAGATTCAGGCCATCAGATTATCCTACCTGTAGTTTTAATGCTGGTAGTACTTTCTGATTAAGAGATTAAGGCCATCAGATTATCCTACCTGTAGTTTTAATGCTGGTAGTACTTTCTGATTAAGAGATTTAGGCCATCAAACCTACTGCTACGGCTTTATGTTCAGAGCTCCCTATAAATATAAGCCAAAATAGGTCCTGCTATTGTTACAATGTCAAGCTTGTATGCAATACAAGAACACTTTGTGGTGCTATACAGAACCATGTTTAAAAAGGTTCTATATAGAACCATTCACAGCACATTCTCCATCGGTTTGAAGAACTATTTCACCATGCAAGCAACCATTTAAGCACGCAAATGGTTCTGTGTAGAACCAGTGATGATAAACAGAACCATTTTCAAACACTCAAAACTTTGTGTGTTACCTTCGTGCAGGTGTGAAGTGTCAGCGCTAATCAGGTAATCAGGTCACAGAAGAGCGCTGGACTCAGCGGCGGCGACTCGACCACTCAGCTAAACCGAACACAGAGGCGCTTCTCATCAATGGACCCACATTACTGCTGTTCTGCTATATCCGCGAAGAAAAGGCCAGGAAAGCACAAACAGACAGAGCCTCTAATTCATCCCTCCACACAAAACTTCCGCGTTCACAGCTGGACTGTCTCGTCCGCGTTACTCGTGTCAGCTGACTGCAGAGGCACATGACACTTAAAGCCGCGGAGGGGCGCAGGGCGCATGCGCGAAGACAAACCGCCACCTCCACAAACTAGAGAACAGGCCCATTATCATCCACCAACACTGAGCTCCCTACAGAAGTGCACAGGAACCTCTCAGTACAGCCATCAGCACAGGAACTGAGGTTTACTAGTGCTGCTTTTCTGGTTTTAAGATCTTTTGGGTCTAAAATAAAGTGCTGAAACTCCAAAGTAAGAGGTGTGATTGACAGTCAAAGCGGTACAGGAGCTGAACCAACAGAATTAAAAAGAAGCAAAAAAAAGGGAGAATTAGGACCTGAACTTGAAGCAGTAAAACTGACCCAAGGAAAAAAGTAGATTACTTTCCTTACAAATACCTAAGTATGAATAAAACAGACTTTAAGTGCAGTAAATCCTGCAGTCATTTGAAATGACCTAACACACACACACATCATCTAAACCGCTTATCCTTCTGGGTTGCTGGAGCCTATCCCAGCTGTCATTGGGCGGAAGGCAGGATACACCCTGGTCGGGTCGCCAGTCCATCGCAGACAGACAGGCATACACATTCACACACACACTCACACCTAGGGGCAATTTTAGTATGTCCAATTGGCCTGACTGCATGTCTTTGGACTGTGGGAGGAAACCGGAGTACCCGGAGGAAAGCTGCACAGACACGGGGAGAACATGCAAACTCCACACAGAAATGACCCTGGTCATCCAGCCAGGAACCGAACCCAGGCCATTCTCACTGTGAGGCGACAGTGCTACCTACTGCGCCACAGTGCCGCCAATGACCTATCACATTCCCAATTACTGATTTGGTAGAGATTTAGAGGTTCAATTCCCCACCCAGGCAGGGCTAGACCCTAAACAATTCCCTTATCCAGGGACAGATCATGGTCTTATGGCCCCTGAACTCCATCAATAATGGAAAAGATCCAAAAAGTGAGATTAAAAGATTTCACATTTGTAGTTTTGTCTCTACATCGTTTTTGAATCTTCTAAATGTTGAAATTTATACTAAAAAATTTAAATTATGTAAATCACATGCTATGGCCTTTGCAGCAATTAGACAGCTGTCTGTTCTCCCATCGTAACACAGTTCAAGATATTTTTAGAATCTATGCCAATGCACACTGAAGATGTTCTGGCAGCTTCTGGTGGCCCAATGTGTCACTAAAGGTTTTTCCAATAATGTGTCCTGTATGTTTTGCCAATAGATATCAACCCTACAGAAACCATTCTAAAGTCCTTCACTGTAATACTAATCTGTGCCACTAGAGGCCACCGTTGCTCTCATTCTCTCATAGGAACACATTTCCCTGATCTCCCATTAATTTTTCAACATTGCATCTTATGAGCAGTCGACAAAGTGTTCTCAGACTAAACCACTGCAGCTGTGCAATTTGCATTTTCAGTGGCACAACTAGGCAAGACAAGCGCTCTGTAGCAACCAGGCCCCCTAACATCTATCTTAGGTCCCCTTTGTCACTACTTCTGCAATTTTACACCCATTACTCATGGGTAGCTATGACAACTTAATCATGTTGTCATTTCAACTTTAGCCTACATTAGAACACCATTTTGGTTGAGACATGGCAACTGAATATAAAAACAGCAAATTACTTTACATTTTTCATGAAAATGAAGGTCATTTTCTTATGGGGGTCATTCTTTCGTTATTATTTTGGGGCCCATAATATCCTAGTTGCCACTGTGCATTTCCATGTCTTGAATCGTCCCAACTATAAAACGTTCAAGGACGTCTTCATAATGCCGGCGCAGAATGTCACAATAGTCCAGGACACATTCCTGTAACAGAGAATCTTTGCTTCAAGCTCTCAATTTATGATGACTATTTGAATAAATGAATATATAATCAGCAGGAAGACAAGCATTTGTCTTTTATTTAATAGGTATGACTTTGTTCTTGAGCATCGCTTCATGTTGTTTCAATGTTAAATGAGTGTTGGAGGACAGTGAAAGGACTTCTCTCCCACTTAATGGTTTATTGATCAGCTGCTTTAACTCTGCGGTTATGCTGAAGGGAAGTAGTGAACAGTCAGCTGACCTCAGGCCCTAAAGAAGGATGTCAAGCATGGGACCCAATAAACCAGTGAATCAGTCCTGTTGTCCACCTGTGCTGCATGGTTTCGTGTTTTCCCATTCTGACACACCTGATTTGGCTCAAGAAGGACTGGATCATTAGCTAATGATGTTACTCAGGTGCAAGGAAAACATAAAGCTGTGCAGCTACTATGTAATCTCAAAAAGACTTGCATGTGTGATTTCTAACACTGTATCACATATTATATACCCATTAAAATGGATAAAACATGTTGCATAGCTTTAATATGGATATTTTTTTCTGAACTGTTGCTTTAAAAACCACTGATATTCAAACTGTCCAGGTTTCAATGACTGTGTCAAAAACCACATACCACCATACACCATGCTAATGAATGCACTGCCAATTGTGGTGTGCTATTTGTCTAGAGTTGCCATAAATGTTAAAGCTGTAAATAATTAAAAGAAGGCCAACTTAACGTGACTGAGATCAGTAATCACAGTCCAGTTTTCCCTGCTTCAACACAGCTGACCCCATTAATAAAACACTGATGTTTTCTCTTAGTGGTGGGGGTGTCACGATCCTGGGGGTGTATGGTGTTTTGTTTTTTTGTAATCACTTTTCCCCTAGGATTGGTGTCTGGAGGGTCTGATTGGATACAGTAGGGGGCGCTCCAGTTACTTGAGGGCCGTTGCGGCACTGCAGGAGGGGGAGGGGGCTGTTCCAGTGGTTGCACCTGTGCCATCAGCCTCCACCTGACCAGACCAAGCACCTGAACCTTTTGTGAACTTGTGTTATTGTTGTATGAGTTTGCCTAAATACCTGTAAAGCTCTCTTTTTCTAAGTAAGGGGGTGAGTGACCTATGGTGTTTATTGTTTTCTCCTGGTTTGGGACAGGGGAGGTAGTCTTATAACTGTCATTTTGTTTTGAGTTAGATTACTTATCTTTTGTTTCTAGTTTGTTTTGACCTTATCTCACCCCCTGAAATGTATCTTTTGTGTAAGCCCATGTGCATTTGACCAGTTTAAAACTAAACTTACCAGCTTTTATAAGATGGTGCCTTTAACTTGTTCAAGTTAAAATAAATAAATGCTGATAAGTGGTCAGTTATTTGTAGTTGGTGGTGTCTTGGTCTGGCAGTCAGATGGCGTTGGCTTGTTTTTTTTTTATGTACAGCCTTAAGTGTTCCCCTAGACATAGGAGTTCGTAACAGTTGGTTAAATAATTTAAAAAGTATTTGACTAATGCATTTTCATACAAGACAACTAAGCAACTACTTTTAGTTTACAACTTAGTTGTAAACACAACTATTTCAATACAGTTATAAACTGGTTCAACCAGCTGAGCTTTTCAACCTGAAAATATTTGTATCATTACCAATTAGATTAAAGAAAAAGGCTGGCAGATTTATTTCTGACCACACAATAAAGAGCAAATATGAGCACAATAAAAATGTAAGTATACTTTATTTACACCACATCTACTGTGTGCTTTTGAGGAATATGTGCATAAGTTTTGTACCATATGAAGTTATGAACTGCTACCATTGTTTACTCTAAACTTGGTGCATGGAGGCCGTACTTTAGCCTGACTAATTTCACTGTGAGTTACTTACATGCTTCAAAATTAGGCTATATTACAGCCACTAAGAGTTGATTGAAAAGGCCAGAAATATCAGCACCCTTACTGTTTTTTCATCCATCTATATTGGCATGAAATCAGAACATTTCTAAAGAATTTTGGAGCATAAGGTAGGGCCCAGTGTCAGTAAGCTGGGTCTCTGTCAGAGGTCATGGGTCTTTCATCAGGACAACTGCCCAAAGCATACATAAAACAAACACGCAGAAATGGTTTAAGACAACGCGCCGGTCTGTTCTGAAGTGGCCATAAATGAGTCAATCTCATCGAACACCTGTGGAGATCTTAAAGCAGCAGTTGGGAGAAAGCACCATTCAAATCTTTCAAATATAAAGGACCTCTTTCCAAAGGGTGTGCTACCAAATATGAAGTTCAGGGTGCCAATCATTTTTATTTGCTTGAATATACTAAGTTCTGAGTGGACAAGAAGTAGTGCAATATAATTAGTGAAATGAAGTGGAAATCTATTTTTGCCAATGTCAGCTGTTTTTGGAGTAAAACTAATTGTTTTATAGCAATTTGTGAGTAATTTGGAAGAAAAACTGCAAAAGTGGCAGTATTTCTGGCCATGACCGTAGGTGTGAATGCTGTGACTCATTCATACAACTACTTGCTAAACAAAAAAAACTTTCATGGTACAAAAAAAGTCTTCGGAGTGAAACTGTCAGCATTTACAGATGTTGCTATGGGAATACAACAAGATGACCAAACCCATGTTCTATTTGAACCTTTAAAACTACACAAAATATTCAAGTCACATATTACTTTGCATTGGGGTTGTGCCCCACTCTTCTTAAATGGTTGTACAACATAGAAACCCGTCTAATTGGTCTTTTGCTGGGTCCTAATTAGTTGAGACGTCTGGCACAGGGCTGCGATTGGCTAGATATGTTAAAACGAGTCTGTGATTGGCTGGTGATTTTATCGAGGAACTGAGCACAGCAAGAGGGAACTTGACTGCTGAGTTGCAGCTGCCATGCCGGTCTGTTTGCCCAGGGGCTTCACTCTGTGTGTGGGTAAGTGTGTCCTCAAGGAGAATACAGAATCACATGAATAACATGTAGCAGGCTCATTTACTCAAACACATAAGTGATCAGAGCCTGTCATGTAAAACACAAAAGTGAACACAATGTTTTGTGTGTGTATGCAGGACAGTCTACTATTAAAGTGTGCATCCACTGCATGCACCCTACTGAGCCACAGCTGCTGTTTTACCATGAGAAGACAGAAATGGCTTAAAGCGATCTGAGTTAAAAACATCAACAAACTCCTCTCAGTGCTTTTTTCAAAGCATTCATCCATTTTGCTGAGAATGGTCGAGATTAAATGACTCAAAAAGGACAAGTTTGTTCTAAAGACTGTGTGCCTAGTGCCAAGTGAGCTGGTTGTGTGTCTGTGTGGCCATTCAATGCCTGCTCTGGGTCAGTGATTAGTGGGACACTGCCAATATGCAAATAGGCCTACTCATAAAAAATCTAATCTGGCTGGCAATGGAGGTACAATAAGGGTTCATCTGTGTTCCCTAAATGCCAGAGAACACTGACCGACCAAACACCAACAAACACAGACAGAACATTTGGTTGGGTCCTGAATCTAGAATGTTCTATTCTCATTCATTCAGGAAGTTTTGGCTCGGCACTTTCTTTCAACATTTTAAAAATAACCATAAACATTAGAATGGTGGTGTTTTATTCACCTTAAAGGTTACATAAACGTACGCTCAAGGGTCACTATCTGACTCTAAGGCACTAAAATATAACATGATACTGCCCCCCCCCTTCGCAGCTATAACTTCCACTCTTCCGGGAAGCTTTCTACAAGATTTGGGAGTGTGTTTGTGGGACTTTTTGCCCATTCATCCAGAAGAGCATTTGTGAGGTCAGGGCTCTGTGAGGGCCAGTCAAGTTCTTCCACACAACTCACCCAGCCATGCCTTCATGGTCCTTGCTTTGTGCACTGGGGGTCAGTCATGCTGGAACAAAAAAGAACCTTTCCTAAACTGTTCCCACAAAGTTGGAAACTTACAATTGTCCAAAATGTCTTGGTTTGGTGAAGCATTAAGATTTCCCTTCACTGGAACAAAGGGTTCTAGATCAACTCCTGAAAAACAACCCCATAGCATTATCCCCCCTCCACCAAACTTTACAGTTGACACAATGCAGTCAGGCAGGTAATGTTCTCCTGGCATTCGCCAAACCCAAACTCGCCCATCAAACTTGCCAGGTAGAGAAGCGTGATTCATCACTCCACAGAACGCGTTTCCACTGCTTCAGAGTCCAGTGGTGGCGGCTTCACACCACTTCATCCAGCGCTTGGCATTGTACATTTTGATCTTAGGCTTGTGTGCAGCTGCTTGGAAACCCTTTTCGTGAAGCTCCCAACGTGCAGTTCTTTTGCTGATGTGGCTTCCAGAGGCAATTTGGAACTTGTGAGTGATTCAACAGAAGATAGGCACTGTGCACTCTGTGAGTTTGCTAGGTCCACTGCTTCGTGGCTATGCTGTTGTTGCTTATCAGTACAACCCATTCTACTGCCAATGGTTTGTCTATCGAGACTGCAAGACTATGTGCTTAATTCTATCCACCTGTAAGAAATGGGTGTGGCTGAAACACCTGAACTCAGTAATTAGGAGGGGTGTCTCAATACTTTTGTCCATATTGTGTACTTCTAGAACGGAAAGGAGGAGAACGTTCCACGTAAGAGTGTGAATGAGAACATTCTGGAAACTCAACTGCTGCACACAGGTACTTCACATGAACTTAATATTTGGGTTTGTTGGTAAATTTGGGTCAGGGTTAGAGCTGGGCAGTATGACCATATTTATTGTTATTGTGATTAATTTCATCACAAAGTTTTCTGAGCATATTGTAGATATCGTCAGTACTTAAAAACACTTTCCAACTGCATGTTTGAATAAAAAGAGCATAATTAGTCCTGTTTAACTGAATGTAGTGCAGCACAGTATGTGAAAGGTTGAATACAAGTAATTGGGTTCAGTTTTTAATAGTATTTTTAATAATTGGCACTACTTTAACTGATCAGATGTCATAAAAAATAAATACTGTGACACATCATGTATCATAAAGACTTCAAGTGAACTAAAGTATTGTGATGTTACATTCTGCCATATTGCCCACCTCTAGTGAGGGTGCTCTGGCCTTTCAGTGTACAATTCTGAAGGTACTGCATCAAACATCTGCCCAGAATAATCTGCCTACAACTAGCAGCTCTCTCCTTCTGCCAATCCCCTCCATCCTTGTTTCTGTGGAGGAGAAGAAAGACAATGTTGACTGGTACTTTCTCAGCCTCTGTTTATTCCAAAAGTCCAAAAAATAAAGCAGTCGATCCACATTCCAGTTACAAAAATCTCCTCCGGTTCAGCTCTGTCAACTTTCCAAATGAAAATCTAGTGGTGATTCAAGTCCATTTGCGTGTGTTTGTGTTTGCTTGTGGTTTGGCATCAAGGAAGTTTTCACGCCCACCATCTTTCAAACTCGAACCAACCTTGAACCAACCTGCGTTCTCCGTATGTACCATGTGAATGTGTTCATACAATTAGAGATTTAAGTTATACACATGGATGGTCTCTGCTTGTATATACAATACATATACATATAAAACTAATGGACAAGATTGCAGTTACACAGCATGGCATAGAAAAGGGTGCTCGGCATAGAGTTTCAATAGTAATTCAATAATTAATAATTATCAATATATCTGCAATTCTATTCTCTTTCTCTTACTTTTCAGGTCATATTTGACTATGGAAGTTCTATTTATCTAAAGTCAGTGGCATCATCATCATCATTATAATCATCATCGCTTTAAAAACAAAGATTAAACTAAAGGTTCTCATGCGTTTCACAGTTAAGACTGCATATAGTAGTGCACATCATTTAATGTACATGTTGAATGACACAAAGGAAAAAAGAAACATCTTCTAAATGAGAATTATAAAAGATAAACATCACATGTGAGGCATTGTTATTGAGTCCACGCAAACTTGCCAGAAGTATTTTGGCACAGGTCACTATTTGGCATTTAAAAATACTGCCGAGGGAGGGGGTGTGTGTTGTAATTAGGTCTAAGATATTAATATGTTCATATTTTAATTAATATGTTCTTTCTGATGAACCCCCGCAAAGGAGAAATGTAAAAGTCTCAGTGGAAGTGTTTTTCATTTCAGTCTGTTTTTTTTTTTTTGATCTTGACGACAGAACTATAAAACTACTGCTTGCATCGTCCATAGGCTAGACAAACAGGATCAGAACACGATCCGCAAAACAAAAAAACAAACAAAAAAACAAAAAGAACAACAAACTTCAACAAAATTAACATCACGTTTCAACAACTCAAACTTCTTAGAAGAAAAACAAAATCGAAAGATTTTTTTTCCTGTCAAGCATCGTCATATTAACATTAACATCAAAAGAACAAAAGTGTAGTTATTTACATGATCAATATATATTTTTTTCAATATGTGATTCCTATGATAGTATTAAATGATTCAGTTCAAACATTGCACCTACTTGAAATGAACTCATTTGGCTTTTGAAACTGAAGCAAATTCATAAGTATATTTTACAATATGGAAGCAGTTTCTTCGCTGTTGTTTTGAAAATAAAAAGTACTTCAAAAAAGATTTTTTGTTTTGATTTTTCACGCTGTTCGAGTAAAATGAAAGAACATCACATTTGATGCAGATGATTCAAGTGTGCTTTGTGGTCTTCGGAATCAGAGATTCCAAAAACATGTTGCTATGGAAACAGATGTTGAGCTGCTCCTCAGTGCACGATTACGAGTCCTCGGCTTGGGTGTGGAAAAAATGTCAGTGAAAACTGAAGATCGGAGGTGTATGCGAGCGTGTAGTGCTGATCGTTTGTGTGGTACAACAGCGTGCATGTGTAAACCGATGTAAAAGTTCATGTTAAAATGTCCACATGTACATAAGGTGTCTGTACATTTTTCTGTGTGTATGTACAAGTGTCTTGCGAGTGTGTGTGAGTGCTTGTGTATATTGTATAGATAGGATATCGTTGCGTTTTTGCTTATTTGTAAGTGTGGATATGTGTGTATTCGTAGATGTGGATTTGTAGGGCCTTCTAAGCCTTCAAAGAAAGCCTAATGATTTCTGTGAAATAAAAACACGTGTGTCTGTAATTTTTAGTTTTTTTCATGCTGGTTGTATTTAAACTCTGCAAATATTGTAGCAATATTCTTTTGGTTTGAAATAATTGGGTTATATTCATGAAACCCCAAGCAAAAAATGATCCTATTAGGTAGATACAGCCAAGTGAGCTCTCTCATTGGTTGGGACTTCAGGAGCTGAACTGAAGGCCTAAAGTATCAGATTAACCACCGACATAATTAGGAAGTGACAGTGGAATCAATCGATCATGTTTAGATTTCTGATTTAATATGATCCTAGATGTGCCACTGAATGCGAATATGAGCTGTACAACTGCGTTTCAGTCAGTTGTTCGAAATGGAAACTGCAGCAGCAGCTCTTTACTGAGTCACTTTAAACCACTTTAAACTTTACTGAGAGTCACTTTAAACCACTTTAAGCCTGCTACATACAAAGTAAAATATATGTTAATCTCTGTTTCAAATAAAGCTTCAAATAAAACAATGTCTTTTACAAGCTTCATATGTCCCTGTTTAATCTGGAACAGCTAGAAAATGTTCATGTGAATCGCAGTTAATGTACTTAATCTAATAAGGGCACTAGCAGACATCAGCATTACCGTAGATGTGTTTTTTACTTGTTTTTGATCGTTTGGACATCTATGGAAATCATGAGTCTGTGTCTTTGATAATAGGGCCTATACAAGTACAGTCACTCAGTGTGAGTTAGCTGGGTTATTATGTATGTATGTATGAGTCTGGGTCTGCAAGAACATGTGTTTATATGTAAGAAAATGTGTACAACTGTGTGTGTGTGTGTGTGTGTAAGGCACTCAGGACAGCTCGCTCATGTTGAGAGGCATTGCCATGCCTGGTCTCATGTAGGGCACAGCATGGACGGCTTTAGAGAAGTCTGGAGTCAGCACTCTACCGTTTTCCCCGGTACTGCCAGTTATAGACAACCTGGCCTTACTGCGCATGGCGTCCGTGAACGTCATCTAAACAAACACACACACACACACACACACACAGATACAAACAGAAATGCACAAGACAGACAGAATCATATACACACAAATCCCCAAAGCAAGAACAAAACCAAACATTACGCAAAATTAAAGGATCAACAAAAAGGTAAAAGGGAACAAACACACATTCACACACACAGGGACAGAAAGAGAAAAAAGAGAGAAATCAACAGCATCAGTCAGTTTCACGTTGTATGAACACTGCACAAGTATAAAGAAGTTTTATGAGCGGCAGATGGGGTGGAGAATGATTGACAACTAATGGGTCTCTCTCTGAGCGCGATGAAACAGCTATTTATATCTCTACAGCAAGCCATGGTGCCAGTCCATAAATAACACCAAGCACTGATGATGGCAGAAAAGGCAGAAAAAAAATCGACGGCATGGGGGGGGGGGCCAAAACTGAGAATGTGGACGAAATGTACCATCCATTCATCATTCATCCAAAAGTCCTTTCATCTATTCATCCTTTCATCCAATTATTCATCAACTAGTCCATCATCCTTATTATTCGTCCATCCAGACGAGTGGTGTAGCCTAGTCTGAAGTATTGGGTATGCTGGGACTAGCGATTTACAAAAACGGCTAGATAGCACATAATTAACTTGGTAATATTATTTATTAATACATTTAGTATCTTATAAAGTTTGATAAAACAGCTATTGGTTGGTAAGCTTAAAGTTAACTCAGGATGGGTTCATGCAACCCCTAGGCTTGGGCGGTATCCATACCTTCAAACTATCTCCAGATATTACCGCGGTATACAATATTACAGAGTTAAGGTGGTAAAAATCGTGTAAAAATTCATGAAAGTGCCACAAGTGATGTAAAAAGAAATCAAACTTGTTCAGTACTGTATGGAAATGTGTGCTAGCTAACCTAACTATAGCTTAGTTAGCAGGCCAAAAGTGCCAAATACCACAGTACAGGCTCAGTTCCAGTTAACTGACGCTCAGATAACACAATTACAATGTAAAGACTCTTCAGGAGCGCAAGTCAAGTGACTGGTGTAGGAGTGACAGCTGAAATCAAACATGTTCTGTGATGTGGTGCTCAGACTGTTAGCCATAACTAAGTCGCGAGGATTTTCGAAGATTATTCCTAGTCCTGATTTAGTAGGACATCAGATGGAAAACGAAACCATAAACCATAGCGCATTATTACAGTCGTGAGAACCATTTGGCTCTACAGTGGAAAAGAGGCCTTTGAGGTCAGCAGCACCTGGGAAGCTTTTAAAGCTTAAGGTTAGGCGATTAGGTGCTTTGATTTAACATTAACATTATCCCTGACAATTAAATGTGAATGAGTAGTGTTTATTTGGCTGTTTCCTGGATAGACATGGAACAGAAATTGTACGTTAGCATTTTGAGATACTGTCATCATTCTGAAATTACATAAACCACAGAGGAGTAAGGGCGAGTTTTATTACTTCAGTATATTTATGAACATGTATCCTTTTCATCATTTGGTCTATTCAGAAATTAATGAATTTATCCATTCCCTCCATTTCATCCATCCATCCACCCAACCATTCCTTGAATAATTTGTATGTATGTATGTATGGTAACTTCACACACAACCCACAAACGATACATATCTTTTGTCTGTCACGAATGCACGGCAATGAGGCCTTGAAGAAAAAAAAAAACGGACGACGGCAATGAAACGACTGGCAAAAACAAACAAACGAATAAACGACAAAAAAAAAACTCCACCGTTCCTACCCCACTAGATCTTAACACTCTCCAGCCCATACACGTTGTACCCTTCCTTATAAGTGGCAAAATTCTGAGAATTCTGCGAGGAAGAGGGGGGATTTAGAGCCTGAGTCTTGGCAACCTTCATGCGCTTGGCTTCGGCTCGCGACTTGTAGCAGAACTCCACCAGAGCGACCAGCATGGCCAGCCCCAGGCCGCCCACCAGGATGTAGAAGACCCCCGCCACATTGCTCAAGCTCAGTGCACTCGTCTTCTCCTGCAGAGGGGGTCAAACGGTGAGGGTCACAAATCGGACACAAAAAATAGTGGCTGTATTACATTGTGGCAACTGACTTAGTTTTACAAGACAGTAAAGTCGCTAAATATCTACAAAAGTGACTATTGACTAGGGGCTACATGAGTTTGGAAGAGTAGGTAAATTGTATTAAGAACTATTCTATCCAGCACAACAGTAAGACTATGAAAAGTAAAAAAAGAAATATAGAAACCTTCATGTGTGTGTTGAAAGTGTGTGTGAGCGAGAGAAGAAAATAGACAGGGACACTGTGCACAGCACTAAAGCTACAGACAAATATACATACAACATTTATAACTCCAACATTATGACGATTTTTGTGTAGAGAAGATAGAAAGAAAGAAAGAAAATAAGAAAGAAAGAAAAGACAAGTTGACTGCAGTACATAGAAATACAAAGGAAGAGCATAGGGACAGTCTGAGCCTATACAGGTGTGCATGTATGTCTGTGAGAGTATTTATGCATCTATCTACAGTACTGTGCAACTTGGACACCACTATTTTTTTTAATTGGCCAAAACGGCCTTTAAGTACAAGTTATTCAGTTATCAGGAGATATTTCTGATAAGATTAGATATAAAGTAATACACTTGCATAAGGAAGAGGAAAGTCAAAGGAAAATAAGTGAGAAATAAGTGAAAAAACAAGAGTTTGCAAAACTAGGGTTCAAAACAATTAATAAAAGATACAGACGACAAAATGGAACTCCTAACAACCATGCAAGACCTGGTAGACCACCAAAACTGATCAGATAAATAGTACTTAAAGAGAAGAGACAATCAAGCTCCACTCTTTTTTCAGATCTGAAAAAATCCAACTGTGTTTCTGTCCAAAGGTATAAATGCACCCAATTTCTAAGATGAAACTTTGGTGCTGGGGAAAAATATCCCTGCAGATTTAACTGAAAGACTGAAAGCAAGTCTCTGAAAAGAACAGAAATGCAAACTACTGGACAAAATACTGAAAAAAAACAATAACTTGTACCTAATGGCCATTTTGACTGGAAAATACAATAAGGGTGACTTTTGCACAGTACAGCATATACAAATATACTGTAGATGTACATATTATGAGTGTGCTATATTGAAAAATGTGTACATGAACTTATGATCTTATATATGCATTTGAGTGTTTGTATATGTAGGTGGGTTGCATGCATTACTCTGTATTTAAATATGAAACCACATCTTCGTATAGGCAATTCATTGAACAGGCCTGTCTCTGATTCATGCGTTGGATAATCTGTACTGGGGACTCGTTCTGACACACACACACACACACACACACACACACACACACACACATCCTATCACACACATGCACACACATGTTCACATTCACTCTGCCATCATTGGGGGAATAGTTTTAAATTACACACAGCCTCTCAAATACACAAACACGCAGGGAAAGGGTCTGGGCAGAGACAATCAGTCCACAGCTGCACACAGGCACACATTTACTATTGACACAAACACACACGCACGCACACGCACACACACATACACACACACACACTCCCTGCAGTGACTGACCTTACTTCCCGAGTCCTTGGATCCACATTCCCCTTTATCGTACCACCATTTGTTTTTCATCTTGTCTAAGACGCCTTGCTCACTGAGTTTCAATACTGCAAGGTTTACTGGCGTTCTTCGCGTATGGGGAATAACATAAATAACATTACCAATGTTATTTTATGTTATTGTCATGAACATTAGAACTCGCTAACAGCGCTGGATTGGCTCAGCCCTGCGCGTTCAGTGGCGATCGGCCCTCCGCGCTCCATTTGGCAGTCAGCAATCGCGGCGTTGCTGTGCCAGATGTGTGCGGACGCATCGCCTCGAGAAAGCAGCACCATCAGCTCGGCACTCTGGACCTGAGACTCCCATTACAACAGTCATGTAAAGGCCTTGCCAATTACCCAGTTTCCTAACTCTTAGTTGTGCTATGTTTATATCGTTTAGTAAGTCTAGGCATAATATATACATCTTTTTCAATGAAGCATTCCAATCTGAATTAATCAAAGGTTGCGTGCAACTCAAGCTCAAGCCCTAAAGGAGTTCCAACGGGTTGGTTGCCGGGGGACCAATAGTGCTGCTTACTCATTTCACATGTTTTCATTCTTTTTCTTTTTTACCCATAGTTCCTGATCACGGGTCTGACCTTTGACTCCCCGCCTCCGCTGCCGCACTCTCCTTTGTCGTACCACCATTTGTTTTTCAATTTATCCAGAAGCCCCTGCTCGTTCAGTTTTAGCACTGCAAGGTTTACCGCGTTTCTTAAACAAACGATAAAACAAATTCGTCAGACAGCATAGGGGGGGCGGGGCTGCAGTGGGCCACACCCCCCCACCAGTCGCATAGAATAAATGCAACATTGGGTCACACAATCCATCAGTCAATCAATCAATCAAGTCAGTATCAAGCAATCAAAATCCTGATTTAAGGTTTAACTTTGAGCAACCCAGTTAAACATCTAGTCACTTTATAAGGTGGCCGAGCTTTTGATAGTGGTTTTATACGTATGTAACTCTCAGGGCAGGAGGCTAAAATAGAGGAGGCTAAGCAATAGCAATTGGTCAATCAGAAGTACCTTCGCTCATTCTTTATGCATACAATTAGTTGTAAATGAAACAGTTTAACTGTAAAAGCAGACACATTTGGTTAGAGGTATCAAAAAGAGACTTGCATGCGTAGTTCAAACAGTGCATCATCATTGGCATTCGCAATCACATTACTGTGTATTCTTAGGCCTCTGAAACTTAATATTAGACATTCATCAGTGCTCATAACCATTCAGTAATCAGTGCATCAAGTCACATGCATTAATAATTTACGGATTATAAAGTGGGACATTAGATATAGTTGCATTGATTCAGTCAGTGAGGAAAGACAAGTGCTCAACAAGGCAAATTTTATGGCAAACGTCCACGGTGAACCACAACAGGCAATATACTAACGATAATAGTTTTACACGTCAGCTACATCTTAGACGGTGCATTTATCATTTACACACATTACGCCAGCTTAAGTTATCTTAGCAGAAGGCCCAAGCAGGCAGAATATCAATACTGTGGCTGCTACTGTGTCAAACTGGCCAAACACATGAATTATTATGAGCCGTTTGCCATCATTTGCCTCATTGAACACAAGACAGGTGAGTTGTAGCACAAACAGGTTAAAAAGACTTTGCAATCTATCTCAGCCTGAAGACTGTGATGTCATCTAAGTTCAGTGATTTGTTAAATCACATCTATGTAACTACTGTCTAGCAACAAGATACAGAGACTAACTTTATCTTAATGTGTTTCACTTGCTAAATTTAAAATGTAAATTTCGTAAGCATTTAAAAATAGATCTGGCTGAGCCTTTGTTACCTTAGAGACCTGCTCAGTTGCCTGGCCAATAAGATCGATGCTGTGTCTGTAACTTTATCTACATTACATCACTCTGATCGCTGACACTCAGGTAACTTGGTTACCTAGGTTACCAAATCCTAGCCTATCGTCAAGGTCACCTTCAACTCATCTCGGTGGTTGCCTAGGTTACCCTCTGGTCTGCACTCTTCTTCACGCTTCTTTCTCCTCTCTCACCCTGCGGTTACCTAGGTTACCTGATTCCTGGTCGCCTAGGTTACCATCCCTACTCCTTTTCAACTACGGTTCCCTAGGTTACCTCCTTTGTCAGAGGGACCCCCGGCCTACATCAGGGTAGGTGGGATACTATAACAACATGGGTCATATTGTTATACTACTCCACCCACCTTAAAGCAGATCCTTTGGGTGTAGCGATGCCGTAGCCCTTGGAGTCCAGGTTGCCGCCGACCTTCATGGTGTCGCAGGGCTTGCGCTGCTCTATGTACTCGTTCATGGTGGACTCCAGCAGGTAGGCGTATTTGCCTTTGGACTTGCGCACGCGCAAGACGCCTTCCACCGTGCTCTTCACAAAGACAGACGGTTCGGCACTCTTCATGTACTGCCACATTTTGTCGAACAGAGCGATCTTTGACCTCTGGATATGGGGAGACGGAGAGAGGGCAGGAGTTGGAATGAAAGAGAAAGATCGTTTTTGTTATAGTTTGGTATAGTACAGGAAAGAAAAAGAATGGGATCCAGGCTATGCAGACATAAAAGAGAAATTAAACAAAATGAACGTAAAAATAGAAAAACTCAGAGGAATGTCCGCAACTTCAGCCGACCCCTTCTTGTTTTAGACCAAAACTTCCTGCAGGCATTTATCACAGAGCACCGAAAACTCTCCTTTTAACTTAGGCTTTCAAAAAACTACAATTCCCAAGATGCTCTACTCCTCAGCCTCACCCTGAAGAACTCTTTGGTTGAGCCTGCGTCAAGGGTTCCATAGGCGATCTCGGTCTGCTTGGCAAGATCCTCAGCACTCTCAATGGGTGACACCATCCTCTCCACAGTGAGAAAGGCAGCCAGGTTAGCCGTGTAGGACGAAATGATGATGAGGGTGAAGAACCACCACACACCACCAACTATACGCCCAGATAAAGACCTACATACAGCAAAACACCATCAAACACACACCCATACATTCACACTGTCTGCTCAGAAACAACAAACTTGACACAAAAAAGGGAAATTCTATAAAATGTTTACAGTCAGTGTTAATATTAGACAAATACTATGCTTGTGCCAAAAATCCAACTACCCAGTACTTGGACGACAAGGTACCCCATATATCAAATATATTACATATCCACTTAACTCTAAAAGAATTTCTAATCACTGATGAATCTGTTCATTCCTACTGTCTACCATAAATCCATTCCATGTCACAAAGGTGTACTCCATGACACAGTCCTAAAGCAAAAGAATGCAACTATACTGTCCTACTACAGACTTCATGTCGGGTAAAAAAAGAATGACATACAGAGAGAATGCTCAGTAGCAAAGAAAAAGAGAAAAAGACAAAACAAAGAAAAAATAGAGAGTGGTATAGCTCTGTAGTGTAGTAACCTATAATAAAATGGGGAATATGCAGCCGAAACACGGTACCACTCCAAGAAGGAAGAAACTAGTGGCCTTCTGCGACATACAGTCCCCCACCGGGTGAGTCTATACTCACGTAAGAAACCTCTGACCGAGGATTTAAACCTCACCCCCGTCAAAAGTTCCTACTCCTGCATTAGCCTGCTCTTCATGCCCTGTGATTGTTTTAGCCAAAGGAGAGTAAAAGAAGGATCAAAGGTGAGAAAGTCTTTTCTGTGATAACAAGGCAGAAGCAGCAGTAGCAGGAGTGTGAGCATACAAACACCACGGCTGCACTAGGGTGAACTGCTGATCCAGAAAGCTACACTAAGAAAAGCACATACCGTGAGCTAGCTAGCCCACCAGCTAGCACTGACTCACACACCAACCTTGGCGAAATATCGCATCCCTGCTGCATAAAAGCGCCCAAAGAAAACCAGAGACTATTAAAGATGCCAAATTCGTTAGTGGACTCGCTGGCCCCCAGCTGGCCATCCTCAAACTCTTCCGTGTGCCACTCGTACGGGCTAAAGCGGCTAACGAGAAACAGCACGACGCTGACGCCGATGTAGGCAAAGACAATGCACATCCAGATCTCATAGGCCAGTGGGTCCAGGAAAGAGAAGACGCCTGGCTTGGACTTCTGCGGCTTCTTAATCATGATGGAAATACCCAGGCTCATGAAAGGCTTGGAGAAGTCGATCACCTCTTCACGGACTAGTGTGATAGTCAGGGGGGCTACAGCTATGTCTGCTTTCTGAGTGAGAAAAAGAGATGTAGAGATAAGGAAGACAAGGAATATATGTCTGGATACACAAAACAGCAATTTGTGAAGGCCTGTCACAGTCAATTACAGTAATAATCAAGTAACCAGATTATTTTGATGACTAATTGCCATGCATAATCTTTCAAAACATCTCAAAATACTTTATTAGAAAAAGCTAATCCAAGAAGCCTTCAAAAAACATGTAAAATGTAATATAAAACACAAAGTGCCAAATGATGGTGCATATTTTTCTTAGTCTGAGGATTAGGATATAAAATACACATTATCAAACTGCCAACTAAGCACTGCTGAATCAGAGATTTTTTTAATCACTTGAATTGTAAAGGAATCAAGTCAAATAATTGTGACAGCCCTATTGTGCTTTTTAAAGGAGCAATAAGTAATGTTTACAACCACAAAAAAAAACAAAAAAAACAACAAAAGAAAGCGCTGTATATAAAAGTGATTCGTCATTGTCTAAGTTTCTTTCAAAACGCAGACATACTTCTTAGGCTTGTATGAACCATTTTATTATAATGAGGAGGGGGTTCACACATGGACAATGTCATGTTTAGATCATGTAACAACAGTTCAGCAAACTCGCCGCAGTAGAAAAAGATCTGCGTGCTGATCTGTTAATGGATCTAAGGCTACGCCAGTCACTTTCCCAAAGGTTATTCAATGCAGTACCCGACAGGTGAGTGGCACGTTCCTGAATACTAAATGGAAAAAATGATCTGTGTAAAAATACAAAATAAATAAACGAAGAAAACTAAGAGACCAGCATTAGCAAAGAAACAGGGTAAACATCAGAGTGGCATTCAGCCCTCATGAAGGACTTCAGAGTGACTTATTGCTCCTTTAATATTTGCTTCTTCTTCGAATATGTGTCTCATGTATCTGTGTGCTTATGGGTATGTGTGTGTTTTATAGTCCTCCTCACCCCATACACCAGCTCGCCAACCATGCCATTCCAAATCTTGGTCTCAGCGTCTCTTGCACCATACTTCCCATCTCCAACAATCTTCAGCTGGTACTTAAACCCACAATGCTTTGCAATCTCAGCAGCCAAGTCCACGCAGTATCCCTCATAACGATCGTTATCAGTAAATAACTCAGAGTTCTTCTTCAACATCACGTAAGGTGCTTCCTACAAAACAAAAACATACAAAAACGCACAAATAAATACCAAATACACTCAGAACTATTAAAACAGTATCCTGTATATTTTACATTTAACACAGAATTTATAACATGGTCTTACCAAGATGGTTGTCACAATAACTGTCTTGTTCTCCATACCCATGGTGTCATTGGGGAAAAGGTCTGATTTGGTGACTACCATTTTATCCACCTCATTCCAGTAGCCAATCTGGAGGAAAGAATAAGTTCATCCAATAAAGTGTACACCCATACAGAGGGTCTACTTGTACTATGCACACTACTCTGCATTCAGAAAGTTGCTGCTGAGTATGACTGCACTATATGGACAAAATACTAATGATAAGGCGACAAAGTCGACTACAGTGATTATAAACAAATGCTGATGCAGATTGTTTATTGTTGACACATCCTTTACATCATACGTGCATAAATTCTGACACATTTTCTGCTTCCCCCGAAGTGGGTAAGTGCTTTTAACTAACTATCCTCTAATGTCAGCCCAGTAAACGTAAGGTTAGACTAATGTTGTAAAAAAGAATGCCTCATAAAAGAGATGAATGGTTTGGTTGTACTGGGAAGGATAAAAATATTTCATGCGTTAACACTTTAAATCTGTAAAACATACAGCCATAAAATCACAAACATGCCAGTTGTTTACACCAGCTATAAAAGTATCTAATGTTGCCTGGTTAGACATGCACTACTTCTATATACGCTGACAAATCATATTACTGGTGACAAAAAGGGGACTGAACCTGCTCTTTCGAGAAAACAGGAAAGGTGCTAAGTGAATTAAGCCATAATAAGGCCAGAAAATAAGAAATGAAGAATTACTTTATATTTTATTATTTATTTTAGGACTGTTTGGAAGCTTTAATAAGCAAGTAATAGCTTATGTTAAACCATACTTTTGATACAGCAGATTCAACCTACTCATATCTGACAAAATGTGCCATTTTTATAATCCCATAGTATAGCAGTACAAGAAACTGAACTGAGAAATAAATGTAAAAGTAACATAAACAAAATCAGTTAATAATCAGGGTAATGAACTTTTACATTCAGTTTTGTTGTTCCATTGTTTAAATTTTACATTTCTTACTGAAACTAGTTGACAGTAAATAGTGACTGTGACTCAGAGTACAAAATAAAACATTAAGTGATTGGTTAGAGACTAAATTCCATATTAATATGATATCAGCTCTGTGATATCAGTGTTGTAAACTGATAATAACAATTAGCAAACACTATATTGAGGAACCCTATTGCTGAGTTTCCATGCTTGTTGGATACAGTCAGCTCACTAGCATGCAGTGTAAAATCACTGTAGTTGGGTCATTTGTAACTGCAGGCTGCTGTCAGACCATGAGATCAGTTTCAGAGCGCACCCTGTCAGCCAAGCTAGCTACTTAAAATGATGAGATGATATCCAACCTGAGGCAAGCAACCAATCCTGGTCAGGTTCTGTTAGTGACACTTTTATTACTGCTAGACTAATCCACACAAATGACTCATATTTTCTGTTTGCAAATACGCATTTCTTTGTGTGTGCATACATATGTGAGTAAGAAGGATGTACCTTCACAGGGCCACTGTTTTTCAGCTCCATGATGTTGACTGAGTAATTCACTCTCTTTCCGTACTGATCAAACTGAATGTTTCCTGTCAGTCCATCCACTCGCACCTAAACACGCACATACACGTCAGAGGTGTTCAGACAAAACGTTCACATGTACATTTTTTTTTTTTTATTTTACAATAACACAGGTAAGATATGAACCTGTTTCAGGGCGCGTTCTATCTCCACTCCCTGAGCCCAAGGCACAGCCGGATTGGCCAAACAGTCGCCATTGTTGCCGCGCCGACTGATGTCGATTCTTTGTTTATGCAGGAAACGGAATGCTTCTGTCATCACCTGAACCGCATCATACGTCAGAGCCGAGGTGTACTGCCCAAGTGAGAGCACATTCACACACACGTTAATCAACCATCACACCAAATAATAATGTTTGTTTACAGCAATGGCCCCTTTTTTTGATTTATGATCTTATTCATGTGTTTCCTTGTTCAAAATGGTAATGGTAAATAAAAAAAATGTTTATCCTTACAGAAACCTATTACAGATAATGGTTTAAAATATGTTGTGTAATGCATGAGATACTGTTTTTATTTATTTGAGATACGATTTTGGCTTCAAGTGTTTTGAGCCATTAATTGCTAAGAGGTACAAGCAGGGTGTCATTTTTTGAATGTACCACTATTTTATCATTAACAATGAGGGATGCACCAAACCTTTAGCAGAAAATGATTAAAAGTGGCACTTTCAATTTGCGGCAGGAAGAGGAAAAAAAAAAAAACAAGATTAAGTGAGACTAAAACAAAGTGTCAAAATCTAACTCTTGATAAATCATTTGAGTAATAATGAAAACAAGAAACAGTGTTTAAAACACTGTTTGTTCCCTTTTCTCTCCCTTGCCAGTCAGGGCAGATCCATTCAAACAGTTTGAGCAGCAGCAGATAAACAGTGGAAAAAAGTCAGCCATGTGAAACTATTTCCCAGTTCCTTCTGGGGACATTAGACAAGCAATTTGTAATCACTGTGTATGAAGAGAGGGTGCGGTACTCAAGACACAACCGCTTGCTGGATATGCAGAATACAGCAAAACAACAGAAACAGAAAGGGGTTTTGAAAAATGATGAAAAAAAATCACCAACAACAGAGCTAAAGTGTAAAGTACAACAAAAAAAATAAAGGAATTCACTGCCTTAAATGACCAACCATTCTCCGCTGTAAAGAACACTGGATCATTCTGTAGTCTATATGCTGAAATACTTCTAAGTTTTGTCTTACTGAAGGCAGATTTTAACAATAATAAAAGTGCATTTTTTATTGTTGTGTTTATGTTTAGTACATTTAGTCAAAATCATAAACAAAACTTTCAGTTTTCAGCCAGGTGTGTCTTGAATTTCGGTCAGGAATTTTTATTTTGGTGCATGAAAACTCAGACACTTGGTTCAGTGGGCATTCTGTAGTACTGTAGACATCTCTATTGTAGGCATGTGCATCCTATCTCTACCCCTGTAAAAAGATTGTGAGGCCAGAGTTTCTCTACACTGCACCAATTTAACATTAAAACACTCTGAATGGCTGTTTACATCTCAGTTTTAATTATAAAGAAAAAAACAGCAACTCACTGTAACTACATGAACTACAATGCAGACTAGCCCGGTTATTCTTATAGAAGTGTGTAATATAAGTTTGTACCCATCGACCAGTGATGGCCATTTTGAGCGATCAATCAATCAATAGAATAGAATAGAATAGAACAGAATAGAACACACTGCACATTTCAGTCGCCTTTCACCATTACTCTATTAAAGCAAATCAGTTATAAGCATTTCCATATTGATGGTGCAATTGCAGCATGGTGCTTCTTTTCCATAGTGACAGAAAACACAGTAACACCCCACATGCAGTTTCACATGCTGATCTGTTTTACTATGGCCAACAGATGTGTCCATCTACTCTAGCGACAGATTTTAATGAGACAAAGTCTCTAAATGTATTGCCAATGAGACGTTACAAAGGTGTAATGATTCCTAAATTTTGTAATTCAAAACGATAAGATGCAGTGATGTCTTGATTTGACACATTTTCAACTCTGCAAAAATAACTGAAAATGTGCCCTATGCTGCTACCCTTACAAAAAAAGATCTGTAGTAATACTATGCGAAAGTATTGAATGTCTACAGTGCTGTATATTGCTATAATAATCTACAATATTGTCTTGCATATGTAAAATTTATTGATATGAGAATTGTGAACTAATGCCTATATTCAATATTTTTATAACATTTGTAATTTATAAATGTAGAAATTGGGATTAATTCTACCTGCATTAGCACTGCAGAGAGTAACATTTACATGTACAGGTTTACCAATACAATAAAATGAACAAAATGCATCTAGGTCATTTTAACCTAAATGTTTGCTCTTCTGAAGTGAAATTCATCTTAATCTAATCTAATCTAATCTGACGCTGATGATTTGTTTAAGCAATTCTCTGCCGATATCAATATGATTGCGATATCACTGTGCATCTGTAGTAATATTTACTTGTGTATTGTCCTGTAATAAATTATAGCAGTTGTATCAATTTCCAGCCTGTAATATTACTGTAGAACTTTTTCATAAAGGTACATGTCGTCCTCATTTTATGAGAGCTAATGCGTTAGCCCCGAGCTTACATGGAAAGTGTGAACTAACATGCCAACTGCAAGCAACTTAATTTGCTCCACTCTGTTGGACGTGTTGTTTGATCTCCATGTGTATTGAATCAAGAGCCTTGCTGTCTCAAACAACACAATACAATATGCTGTTTTGTAACACCCCGAGATGTTAGATAAGACAGAGGTAATTATACAACTAGCAATGTATAAATAATACCTTTTGCTGAAATCTGAAAAGTAAAGTAATTCAGGGGCAAAGGTCAAAGTTGACCAACTGCCATAATCTGAAAACTCACATGCACAAACAGACACATCTGCAAAACACACACACATTAACTCACTCGTATCTTGTTGTCTGCCCCAGGGTACTCTTTCTCCTCCAGAGCTTCCCATCGCTGGTCAAACTTAGAAACAAGAGGGTCATCGAAATCCACAATCTGAAATCCAGACACATTCGCTCCTCCATACTGGATCTTTGAGAGGTCTCCATCCAAAAAGCCCTGAACACGCATTAAAATAACATTAAAAACAGAACATACATACGAGCTCATCCATTCGTATGTAATTATGCTTGTACACAAATGCATGCACACATAGACACAGACATACACATACACACATACACACAGACATACACTTACATACATACACATACATACATACATACACACAGACATACATGTACACACAAACACAGAGATCCATTAAAAAAGATAATGTCAGAAAAGGCCTGGAAGATTCCACTTGATCAACTCACAAAATTAGCGATGATGTAATGATACCCTTTCACATGTCGACCAATTGTGATGACCTAAAAACAACAAAAAGAAAGATTAGCAAGGATAGTGAAGATATGATGGAGGTAATAAAAACAGCACTAAAAATAAATGCTGCAAGTATTTTAAAACTAAAATGGTTCACCTGACAGTATGACCTTTTTTAACAGTGTAAAAAGCTGTGAAGTAGGAGGATATCGGTTGATTTGCGAGTTTACACCCACTGAATATGGAAAATCCCTGAAGTCCCAAGATTTAGCATAGCGTAGGTGTGTTGTTTCTGATGTAGTGAATACACCACAAACAGAATGCAAGTTTCACAAAGTTACAGCCAAAGGAAACCCACTCTTAAAGGGAGAATGCTGCAACAGTGTTTTTTAAAAAGCTATTTCAATAATAATAACTTTATTAACTTTATTTACATAGCACCTTTCATGTATAAAAATGTAGCACAAAGTACTTCACAATGAAATAAAACATCAAATTCATGTATGAAAAACAGTAAGTAGCAAAATAATAATAAAAAAAAATATAAAGAAAACTGGATGAATGAAAAAATGACTAAATAAAATAAGACTTGAAATAAAAACAGAAGCAGAATGGAACAGAAACCTAACCGAATACTAAGCTAAAAATGTTTTCAGCTGCTGTTGGTGGGTAAAAATGCTGCTTCGCCACTCTTTTTGTGCTTTATCCTGGAAACATTCAATAAAGCAGCACTTTAAGATCTTAATGCCCAATTTGGAGCATATTCTGTCAGGCACTCAGAGATGTATGTAGGTGTTAATCCATTAAGCGATTTATAAACCAGTAAAAGAAATTTAGAATCAATTCTAAATGAGGCAGGCAGCTAAAACAGGGTGTTATATTTTCTCTCTTTTTTGTACAAGTCAGTACTCTAGCTGCATAGTTCTGAACAAGTTGTAGTCTGTCAATTGTGGTGTTTAGGTAACCCAGTGAATAAAGCATTACAGTAGCCTAGTCATGAATACATAGAAGCATGGATCAGCTTTTCAGCATCTTGCAGTTTGAGAAAAGGTCTAACTCGTGTTATATTTCTTACAAGAAAGAATGGTTTTCTACTATTACCAATGTGAGATTTAAAAGTTAAAGTGGAGTCTAAAATTCCACCAACATTTCTAATTTCATCTTTCGATTGTGGAGCCAAACTTCCTAACTTATTTAAAACTTGTTCTAATTGCTTCATTATCAGTTACAAGACTTTCTGTTTTCTTCTTTCAGAATTCCCTTTCCCCAGTAATATCTTCCTCAGCTACACATCCTTTCAAACCCATAGCATTTATTTAAGATTAAGAGACCCTTATTAGTCCCACAATGGGGAAATTTTACCTCCGCATTCTAACCCATCCATGCAGCAAAACACCACATACACACTAGGGGGCAGTGAGCAGCCCTATCCACAGTCTTGGGGGTTAGGTGCTTTGCTCAAGGACACCTCAGTCACAGACTGTTGGCTCAGAGGATCAAACCAGCGACCTTCCGGTCACAAGGCTGGTTCTCTAACCTCCAGCCCATGACTGTCCCAAAGTTGAGTTGGGTTCTCACAGTGGAAGGATGGACAGAAACACGTCCCATTTGCTAGGAGTTGTTAGGAGTCCCATTTTCTCTGTATCTGTTCTTCATTCTTTGGAAACTTTTTTCATTTATTTTCCTTTGACTTTTTCCTTACTTATGCAAGTGGACTATTGTAAACCTAATCTCCACAGAAATATCACCTATAAATGAGAGCTATACTTCACAGTCGTTGTGACTGGACGTTACATAAATGAAGGGTGGTGTCTGACTTTTGCATAGTACTTAATATTATTTATATATATATATATATAATACACATCACTACTTTAAATCTGTCAACTTTCTAACAATGTCTTTCAACTCCATGTAGGAAACTTGTAAATAAACTACGCTGGTTAAAAACTACAGTTGGTGATATTCAACAAAGATACTATACAAAGATAGCATCTACTTGAAGATACCTACTGTACCGCTGTAGTGTTCACTTCAGTTTTTACTTGTGCGCATTCCAGGAAAAATTAACATCACACAGAGTTATTTATAGATACAGCTACCAAGACCCCTATGCAAGTTGCATATATGCCTACACTGCTTCTCATCTAACAGCCATGACACGCATGACACCCACATACCACTGTGCACACTGCTGTTTCATTGGTATGAACCATAAGAGTTTAGCGTTACTATTACATGCATTATATACTTCAAATTTATCCACAAACAATTCGATACACAGATTTTCAATTGTCTGCTCTGCAGCAGCCATATCAATTTTCTAATAATATCTTGCAAGAGTGAGCGTACGTTTCTGTATGACAGGTCAACTTAAATACTTCAGTAACACTACATGGACGTGGGCTGTGTAGCTGGACATAATGTTTAAAAAATGTTAAAAGATCTTTTTAATGCTACCTCAGTGAATATTACGTTATTATTACATTATGAGCAGTGTCACTTAATTTGACAAACTGCTGCAAGAGCTATGACTTTAAAGACAGAAAAAACTGAGCCATGACATAAATCTTTATCATCTGTTACAGCCCAATATATCAGGGAACAAAGCCTGCTAATGAAACAAATATATTTGAAGAAAATCAATAAGGAGAATGATTTACTGTCATTAAATCAAAAGATTAAGAATGAGTCTAGGAGCCTAGTGTGTATGAGTGAAAGAGAGAAGGAGGAGAGATAGAAAAAGACAAAAATAGTGAAAAATACAGAGAGTTAAAGAAAGACAGTATTAAAGAGACAGAAAGAAAGAGAGAGAGATAAAGAGAGAGAGAGAGAGCGAAAGAAAGAAGAGAAAAAGGGGCGGATAGATGCTTATTCTCTGTCACCTGCTCCATGATGTCTTTGACTTTGTCCTGTTCGCAGTCCAGGATGACTCTCCTCTCCTTCTTGTTCTCCAGATCCTGGAAGAGCGAACGATAGGCCTCGTCTTTCCTCTCATCCTTCAGGTTGCCCACGTTTATTGCTGTCACCTGCCACTTCCTCTCAGCCGCTGTGTCCAAGACGGCCTGCAGAGTGGATAAGCCTGCGGAGAGAAAGGGAGAGAGAGAGAAACAGAAGACATTATTCAGTGTTTGTACAATCAGGGGTTTGGGGACACGTCACTTTTCAAAAAAAAACTTTTCATGCAACAGAACATGTTTCCTTTGGTGGTTTGCTGTAACTTAATATATTAAAGACTAAGCAGGTTTATATAGAAGAAAACAATATCTGATGCGTAATTTTTTATAACTGAATTCGTAGCAGGTCAATGGAATAATACCAAAACCCACACATTTTTCTCCTTGTTTAGATGTTAGCACTCAAACCTCTAAAGTGTTTAACCCCTTTTGAACCAGAAGAGTTTTAATATGTGCTTTTAAAAATAATTTAGAAAAGTAAACTCACAAATATATATTTAGGTAAAACCTGCTCTTCACACTACAGAAGACACTTTAGCTCTATTTAGACGGGGTTAAATTTACAAGGGGTTCTGGGATTATCTGTTGGATTCTCCAGACAGATGTTGCATTATGCTGAAAAAAAAACAGTATTACCAAAATACTGTTGGTGGTTATATTGGCAGCTACACACACAGCTACCTAATGTCATCAAAGCATTACTTTATATGCACAATATTACCAACTTTTTACTTTTGTTTGCACAACAAAAGCTTTGCAAATACTATCTTACAGGTAAGATAAGTAACCATAATCAAATTACCAAGAAAGGAAAGGTGTAAAAAACTTTTGACAGTCAGTGTATATTTCACATAGAATCAGGATGTTAAAGAACGTCTGTGTGCCAGTGTGTGTGTGTGGGAGTGCGCGTGTGTTCATGTACTTGTTTGTTTTCTTTGCGGTTAGACTTCAATTCCCTGACCTGATCACCCACCACCACAAAATGATCATCAACTGGCTCTAGCCTTAATTACAGAGGCTGTTGTATTAAACAAGTTTGACTACTTCGTTTAAAATTAGCCTCAGTCTCAATTAGGACCCATCTCTGCTCTAATCTAACCTCAATTCTGCCTTAATCAAAAACACCAGCGCTCTAAATTACCAGCAAAGAGATGTACCTTCGGGAAATGGCTCTCTAAAATACAATGCTGTGCTAGAAAAAACCCAAAGGACCCTCTTTCTCTCTCAGTTTTTCATGTCATTTTTTTCCTCTTCTCCCTCTCTTATGCCTGCATTCTCTCTATTGCTCTTTTGCCCACTCAATTTCATCTCTTTCTTCTTGTTTCTCTCTCCTTCTTTTTTTGCCTGTCCCCTCCCCCACATTCTCCCCACACACATACACTCTCTCGCTGGCTTTCTCTCCTCTTCCCTCTCTCTCTTTCTCTCGCTCACACTCCCCCTCTCGGATAAAAGCCAAAGACCACGGTTGATTTCATATTTAGGTCTCTTGGGGAGGGATTCATTCCTCCGCCTGAAACCACAGATTTAACATACACAGCACCATACCACGGCCATGACGTCCCCCAAATTAACCATCCACAGAAGAAACTTCTATTTGCTGCAGGAGAACCTCAGGATAATCATCAGATGATGGTGCAAACCGCTGATATTACAGTCAGTTAGGATTGTCACAATTAATCGACTACCTTGTTAAAATAAACTGATTGAAATTCACGCTGTAAACCAGTCGACAATGATTTAGTTTTAATAACTTTAATAAGTTTTATAAAACTGGTCTTTTCTTACAGAGCCTGAATAACAAACTCACTTTTCTGCATTTTTGAGGTCACACAGTGTTTGTATGTATTTAAGCTTTTAAAGGAATCCTTATCTTTTTCCAATATGATATTTTAGAACTGGGTATACATGAAGATATTCAAATCATTAGGAATCTGCAGATATTAGCTTTAAAAATTATCAACATTGGACAGATGTTTAGATTTGACTGATATTTCAAACTGATATTTGCTGTGTTTATTGTACTCCTGAAGAGAATGTTAAGGTGGCACTGTGCTACTGCGCTAAAACGCCCGCATTTTATTCATTTTACTGCATGTGTGACCCTAAGAAATAAGTGTTACATTGTAATGTATTGCTAATTCAGGTAAATCTCACCCCCATTTCTACATTTTATAAATGTACATTTAGCAGACGCTCTTATCCAGAGCGACTTGCAAAAAAGTGCTCTATTGTCAACTCAGAGAAAGTATCTTTGCTAGTTACAAATAGGTTAGAGAGAAAGCTCATCCTGAGCTCAGATATTGCTAGACACAAAAGCCCATGGTGATACCTAGAGAAAATAAAACAGAATTAAACACAGCAATACATTTCAATATATTTCAAAAAGTGCAGTACAACATATATCAACAAGTACTTAACTTAGTGCTCACTTAAGTGCTGTAAAAAGAGATGTTTATATATCGGGACAGACAGATATATACATGAAAAATATTAGACACTGATGTACCATTTCCTTATTAGTGCATTCCTATTTCTAATGTTATTCATGTCTTGTTATTGTTCGTTTAAGACAATTTCTACTGTTTAAAAAACACTGAGTACTTAATAAATTACCAGAATAATTGATAGTTTACTGGAATACTCATTTAATCAATAACAAGAGCTCTACAGTCAGTGAACAGACTGCGAGAAGCGATAATACTGCAATATTTCATTTAGAACGTGGGTAGTGTGGGTGTGAGTGAATGAATCTCAAGGACACAAACCACTTTTCTTTTCTAAAGGTGTTATGAAATAACTCATGACTGGGAGGAGGGCTGTGCCTGAAGCCTCTCCGCCTTCCAATCTAGCATTCTTTAAATTTCCATCTCTAACTTCCGATTCCAGTTCCAAGGTTTTGCACACTGCTACCTCCCAATGTCCTCCTTGCTCTTGGATCTCATCTTAATCCTACTCTGTTCATCAAGGGGGGTCCAGCCTTCTTATTCAAAGCATTAAAATGTGCCCAGAACTCCAGCTCAAATTCTCACTCAGAGTTCTGTCCCTTCATACAGTCTCTTCTCACACTACACCCGTGAGTTCAAACTAGCATAATACTTTTCATACTGTCCAGACAGTCAAACTACATCCCTCTCTCCTAGTTTTTTTCATTCTTTTTTTTTTCTAAAACCAACACTTTGTCAATCAACAAGACAGGGCAATAAAACACTACCTACTTAAGTTTTCACCAAAATAAATTCTATGAATTACCAATGTGCAAAAGTAAGTGACTGTCTTACAGTACGAGTCTTAATGAAAACACAAGCTAACAATCAATGCCCTCCCTGCTCTGCTCCGTGCACTGCACAGTTTACCTTTTCCCAGGCTGTAATGGACCTGATTCAAATCACAGTGGGCTCAATAATCAGCCACTAAGCTGAGTCAGATGTGTTAGAGCAGGAGGACACTAATCTGTGCGGTAAAGAAGGTACAGAAGCCCACTGTCACTTGAAGTAACCTCTCCCACAGCTTTATGGTAATACACACTCAAAGCACTGCAGAAAAAGAAACATGTTCTAGACTACACTGAAAAAAAAATGTGTTTTGGATTCACTTTGTTTGAATGTATACACCAGACACAAATGGACAAAATATATTATGGCATTACAGTCCCTGCCAATATATATATATATAATATATATATATATATATATATATATATATATATATATATGTGTGTGTGTGTGTGTATATATTTAATTAATTTATTTATTTATTAATAAATTAATTAATAAATTATTATTAATAATTATTAATATAAATTTTAATAAATTAATAATAATAAATAAATATTAATTGACAATAAATAGATCTCCAGAAGAGCAGATCGTTCAGGTGATACAGAGATTCTCCACTGAAATATCTGCATTTTGTTACTACATTTGTAACACCACAGAAATAAATATTAAATTGCCCTGTACTGCAAATCCAGATGATCAAGTCCCAATTTCCGAATTTAATTTATGTCGATCTATCTGCATCTGCAGATATGTACAAAACATATTAGTCCATTTTAGTGCCTCCCTAAAGACAGTATCAACACGACTACTGCCTGAAAGACAGCAATTTTGTTACTGTAAAGTATTAAATACAGGTGCAACTATGGATAAGCAATATGGTGATATTTATTGTATTGTGAAAAATGACATCGTAATTTACGTGCATGTCGTGGACCATCGATACTTAAGGAATTCTGACCAAGTGCATATTTCATTACAAAGAGAGCATAATTAATATGCACAATAAAAATCGGCCAGGATCAGAATCAGCAGATTTTTTCTCAAAACACATAATGAGCAAAGGATCAATTTAATAATTTTATTATACTGAATCTATGTTGCAGTTTTATGACGTAAACAACAAGAGTGATGTAAGTTCATTTGCACTGTATTAAAATGCTGCTGCTACATCTATGCCAAAGCACTGTATTCTCAGAACAGATTTCTGCTGAGATGCTCTGTTTGACAGGCTTAATTAATGCAGAGCAGCATGTGAAACATTAAATAAAAGTCACTGCACTCACATTTTTGTATTATTTTAAAAATATGGCACTTCTGGTGCATTTCTGGAGGCTGTTCCAGCTTTCAGACAAAATACCGCGATTCAAACTGTGCAGCCAATATACACATTTAAAGCAAGTAAATCTAAAGAACTATTTTTTAAAAATGCTACATATTTTTAAAATTATCATTGAAACCACAAAAACCCATTCCAACAGCACTGCTAAACATCGAAGGCACTACAAATAAAACCAGTGAAATTATCACAACAATGCTACTATCACCCTACAACATAGCCTACAGTAAGTGCTGTATTTAATGTCAGTGCTGCTTTACTTCATCCCCGTCTGCAAGCAGAGCAGGGCATTCATACCACTAGCCAACTATGCATTTACAACTAAGCATAATAGATCCTGATCCGTGATTAGGACAGCATATATATTTTAATAATATACATATTGAACACACATACACTGTAAAATTCTTCTGCTCAGCCATACTAGACAGTGGAATGAATGTGACACTAATAGACCATTCAATGGCAGTTTCACAGACACTGTTTACACACTCCATCATAATTACAGAACCAAATAACACAAAACATTATTACATTAGTAACACATTCATTATTAGTCATTCATTACAGCACTGGTGTCAAGTCGAGAGCCACTCTGTGACTGTGACTGGCCGGCCCCTCTCATAATGCGTTTCTCCATGGCAACTGTAAGTGTGATTGAGTAAATATGACATGTGGAAAGGATGCTAGTGTGTGTGTGTGTGTGTGTGTGTGAGTGTGTGAGTGCGATTGCATGTGTGTGAGAGCAGAATTAGACTGTATCGAATGAGTGTACAGTTTATCTTCCTAGATAGAACAACTTGCCTTGTTGTACAAACAGTGTCTACATTATTTATGTGTGAGTGTGTGTGTGTGTGTGTGTGTGTGTGTGTGTGTGTGTGTGTGTGTGTGTGTGTGTGTGTGTGTGCATGCAAGAGGGATCAGTTTCTGTGCAATATCTGTAAGTGCTCCAGTTCACATTCAGTGTCCCTAAGGAGTGAAGTGAGACAAATTAATTGGACAAGCAATCTGATACTTTAATGTATCGTATGTGTGTTAAAAAACATGAAAAGGCCAGACACAGAAACTTCCCTAAGCACTGCTCCAGTAGGGCTGCAACTAACAATTACTTCTATAAGTAGTCTATCAACTATTTTTCTATTAACTAAGCTAACTAATTTTATTCCTTTTTCAGTGAAAAATCAATTATGTGAGAAATGTATTTCTCATTTCTAATTGGTTATTAATGTTTCCAAACAAAAAAGCACTTCTTCATTTATTATTACTGACTATTTTTATATTTCAGCTTACTGTTCCTGTTTTCTCCTTTAAAATCATTTATCTATTTCCCATTTATGCCACTATTTACATGGATCTGAGTGGGGCATGTCTGCCTCGGTGACACCTGATAAATCATTGGCAAACACTTTCTGCATTAATCACTATGACTGGCATGAACGGCAGGCATGTCTCTGATTTTATGACAATTTATTTTGCAGATTGTTAGCACATACAGCATCAACACAGTCGTCCCAAAAGCATCGCCTTGTGCACTATGATTATCCTCCCCAGGACGACTGGATAGTGCGAACTTACCATGGCATTAATTGTACAACACTGAAATACTCGCATATTCCATATAACACTTGTTTTCCAACATGCAGCCTACCGTTACCGTCACTGGGCTGACATTAGCCACTTAGGCTGGTTAGTTTCAAGCACCTACCCACAACCAGTGGGAGCAGGAAATGTGTTGGAACTCAGGTGCTTTGTTTTGTCCATCACTGTCATACTGCAGAGTTTAACTGCAGTGCAAGTCTTTTACTACTGTTCTGAATGAATAGTTTAACATACATAAAACTAAGACACTGTGTAAGCAATGCTGCTTTTCTTTTTTATATAATTTTGAGAGAAGCAAAACACAACAAAACAGTCCAATCACAACAAGCAAAGCTAGGTAAAACATCATACTAGAGGTGGATGATGTGACAAAAATATACCACGGTGAGTCATTTTCACAGTACATGGAACGTACGAAAATACTTTCACATACTGCATTGCACTAACTCTGGTTAAACAGGCCTGATTATCGCTCTCTCTGTAATAAAACATGCAGTTGGTCAGTGTTTTTTTAAGTACTGACAATATACATAATATGCTCAGAAAAGTATTTTGTTCATCACAATAACAAAATTTATCCCTATAACAATAAAGTACCGTCATATTACTCACCTCTATCTGATACCTCTATGCTGTGATATATATATATATCACTATATAATAAGCTGGGAATTGGATGGGTCTTTAAATTCTTGGCATATTACTTAGTTGGTTTTAAGGGTACTATTCAGTAAATTATATTTCCATTCAGTAATTTCTACGAAAATAATCTGTAAGTTATGTAGTGGTTCATTCTTTTTCTGTGTGTGTGTGTGTGTGTGTGTGTGTGTGTATACCTCTGTCACTGTCGTACAGGTAGGCAAACTTCTCCCACTTGTAGTACTCCACAAGGCTGATGAGGGGGCCTTTGATATCTGGCCTCATCTGCAGCACAAACTGGTTGAGGCCATCAGCAGGAAAACTGGGCGTGATGAAGGAAACATGCAGCGTCTCGCAGAACGACGTGATGGTGTTCACAGATTTCTTATCGTAGAAGCCAAAGATGGCATACACGCCCCTCGAGAACTGGGAACAGACTGGAAAAAAAAACAAAACACAAAAACAATTTCAAGAACATTGTTGAAATTGTTCACATTTAGCTGATGCTTTTGGCCAAAGTAACCTTCAAGCTTTCCTTAGTCTAGCAGCACTGAGCGTACTTGATCCAAATGTGTACATTATTCAAATAATAAGATATTAAAACATTAATATAATAATAGCATGTTAATATAATAATAATTATTTTACATTAATAATCAACAATCGTATTGATGTGGAGCTCTCTGCCATTTCTTGCCAGTGGCTGTTTTTTTTAGCCAATTGTTTTTAAAGCAACAGGCAACAAAAATAATAACATTGCTTATTTTCTCTTTAACCAGAGCTTTTACTGCCCAGGCTAAAAGAACCCACTCCAGAGGTTCAGTGGCACTACTCTAAATTTTCAAAGCAAGCACAGAATGACCTAATAACATGGTCCTTATAGCCTATTAATGTATTGCGGATGGGTGCTAACATGTTTCCAGTAGTAATGCATGCATATCTGCACATGTTTGCACACTAAACATATGTGAAAACTTGTCTGTATTTAATAACCAGCAGAAAGCTAACAGTCTACTAGGGCTAACAGGCTCCTTCAGTAATATTCAGAGTTACACTTTACATAATGCATTACACTTAAGTACATTAGCAAATGATTCACAAAAAAACCGTAACATACAAAGTAAATGTAACCTACATGTCTCGAGGCCCATTTATATTTCTGCACATAAATATAGACGCATCAAGGGTGAAGGGCTTCTGTATGAAGGATTTCATGGGTAGGCATTGCTCACACAGCTTGCAAAGTCCATCAAATGCACACTTTCAAAATCTTAGCTATCATGCAGTCTGCAGAGTCGTTAGACAAATAGACTGGCTCCAGTATTTGGCAGTATACTGTGATAATAAACACATCATAATAGACTGTCACTGCAATTCAGTCAAACACATTTCATTAGAAATTGTTTTAAATAAACAGGTTAAGTTTACTTTCATAAGCTCCATGTAGGTTGCAATTTGATTATGTGATACTGTCTCCTCTGAGAAGATCAGAGGAGCAGATAATCACTACACAGCAGAAGAAAGAAACTCAACAACTTTTTTCTCCATTTAAAAAGGTCAAAAACGCATGTCCTGCCAACAGAGGAGGAAAATGCAGGTTCTCACAAATACATATACTTGCATCGTGTATATATAAAGTAAAAGAACTAAAACCATAGTTACCTTACAAGGGCAGTTTTGTTTAACAACTCGTTTGACTGCAAACAGTCTTCAATGCTAACTTACTCTAGTAATATTGAGAGTTAGGCCTTAAGTTGAAATGTTTGATGAATAATTCACTGTAAACTGCAACATACAATATAATAAGTTGCCAGACTAACAGAACTTAGCATTGCTGTACTGAAAAACACAACTTATAAAAGTAATGCTACAGGCTTCCACATTAAGCATCGTTACATCAAGATGTCCGCAGCTAATACATGTTCATGATTAAAGTTTTTCTGAGTTTCTTAAATAAAGGTCAGTGATCTGTGACAGGGGCTCTGAACTTCTCAACTCCAGTCCTAATTATAAAAAGAATTAAACACACATTGAGCATCATTATGTGCACATACTGTACAAATATAATCACCTACAGAGTACTGCTATTTAAAACCTTCCAAAGCTAATTTATTAAGCTTTAAAGTCAGCCAAAATTGGCCTTGACTAAGTTTCTTGTAATCTTAATAAAGTGACTTTTAATCCAAATTTAGTGACTCTTAATTCCAGTGTAGTGACTCTTAATCCAAGTGTAGTGACTCACAACTAATACAATATAATGATGTTATCAAAAACCGAGGTTAGCTCAGTTTTTATATTGGCACTTGCCTAGCGTTAAGTAATGACCTTTGACATAGTAAATTTGAGTCCTTGCTGATACTGCGCTATCACCAAGTCACCAAAATAGGGCTTAGTCTCTTATTGCTGATATCTGAAACTGGTAGCTGCATGGCGTTTATATATGTAAACTTAATATGGCTTAAACCTCCCTTCCCTCAGACCACACAAACAAACTGAACTGAGCTTAAAGTCAAGCATTTCAGCTCCAACACACTGTGACTCTTGCTAGCATGCTCATGGCTATTTTTAGAGTGCCACCAATTGCAACAGGGGCTGGACAAATTCAGTCTCTAGCCACTAGTCTGGCATTAGGAGTTCTGTCCTTAACGCACTGGTTTGTATAAAGACCCAACTGATCCTAAATCTGTACAAGCAGCTGCTGAGTTCAGAGACTGGAACCATGTCGCATTATGTTTACAACAGGCCACGCTTGGGCTGAACACAACAGCCCCTAGTCTTACCAATACAGTCAGTCTGAAAACATGTAAGGATTCTCTCTTCATATCAAGACATTTAAAGACATTCAGGCAACACTTACTGGCAATGCCATGTTAGGTAAATCTAAAATCACTTTTCGTTTTGTCTTTGGCTCAAAAGACCAATATGACTACATTTTGTCCGGTTTTAAAGGTCAGATGTGCTAGCATCAAGTGGACTAAAATATCATTCTCTCCAGAATTACTGGCACCCAAGAACAGCTACTTATCAAAAAATGGCTTTGGTATTAACAGTTTACACTGAAAATCAGTGAAATCTAACCTTTAAGGCAAAAATGTAGGCAAAAATGTTAAAAGACTATTTGTGTCCCACCTCAAAACCTGATTACATTCAAATTTGATGTTTGGCAAACTTCAGGCACTCATGTTTGTGGTTTGATGACAACAATGATTTTCTTCTGGCAAGCCTTTTAATAGTTTGTTGGCATTGCAGAGGCATCTAATTACAGTTCTGGAGACCTGGTGACAAAATGATCCATTGAGAAAGTTTTGCCTGTCAAATTTCTTCACTCTTTTCCAGGCAGGTTCATCACAGTCACACCCTACTGAACCAAGCATCTCACCACAATCCATCTGGAGAATTTGGTGATAGCCCATTTAATGTGTTTCAATCTGCCACCAGAGGAGCTACAGCACATGAAAAGAGTGAAAAGTATCAGTGTTTTCTGTTTGCTACCATGTTTTCTATCACTATATAAAATATGCACGAGCCTTCCTTTATTGCTGAACGTTTGTTATTTTGTTTAATCAGAGCAGCGCTATTTATGTGTGACTTACGTTCCCATTCATGCGTTGTTCACAAAGGTAGTTTGTGACACAAGCTAAACAAAAATCTATAAATTTTCAGCTTTGTCAGATCACATTTATTACAAATCAAATAAATGCAGCAGCGTTTAGGAGGACAGTTAAATCAATATTAAACAGATCAGGTAAAGCACAAACAACCATTGTTTTGTATAGCTCCTCTACTCATACAGCTTAGCCTCTCTGAATGTTAGAAACCAGCACCAGTGGTTGTAGACGGAAGAAAGACAGAGAACTCATGTGACTGATAGAAAAGAGCAGATTAAATGGCAGAATCAGTCACGTTTTTGAGTCAGCCTTAAAGCAATAATTATTGTCCTAGTAGAGGAGATTTTCAGGTATTTCCAGGTTTGAGGCTATTTTTACAGCCACTGCCTGATTTACGAAGGTCAGCAGCCTTTTGTTTCATTACGTTCCTGACTCATAGTGTATGTCCATTAATCTAGTCTTCGTGTATTCTCTGATCTTCCCCATGTTGATGGATGACTAAGAGTGTTGGGCCTGTGTGTCAGCTCATATTTACACTCAAGCAAAACAGGAAGTTGTGGATGACCACTTAACAAATCCTAGGTGTGGCTAAAAAGGTTACATTTGAATGAGTATGAAAGGATACATTTTTCTCTATATATTTGGAGAAAAATGCTTATTTTTGAAAGGATTAAAAATATCACACTGAATTTCTCATCATTTCAGTAAAAGCTCAATCTGTTAAACAACAGAGAAATACTGTCAAGGCCTGTTCTGCTCATCTTTATCATCATCAAGGGCTGCTAATAATTCATAAAAAAAACAATAAATCGCACCAGTAACTGCTGATGTTAGTGAAACCATGTTTGCCAGTGTGTCGGGTCAAAAGCTCACGGGAGCATTTTTATACATTTCTAATTAAAAGAAATTCATTAAAGAGCAAGAAGATTTTACCAACCTCAGACAGGCAGTCAAAAATCAACAAAGAATCATTTAAAAACTAGAGCATAAACTCTTGTCAGGAACAAAAGTATGAAGATTTAATTGCATACAAACTACACTGATAATTCTGTAGACATGTAAACAGCTCATTAACATTAAAACGTCTTACGTTTCACACCTCTGTGCTTTTATACACAAAGTATGGAGATAACAGATTCTTCCCACCTCTCTCTAGGCCTTGCTGAAAGAAGCCTGAACCCATGAGACATTTGCACTGGTTACTAATCACCTTACCCCTTCTCATAATTTCATTAGTATGCAAGTCCACTGCACTGTCCCCTCAGCACGTCTGCATAATCAAAATAAGACTGTTCACACTTTGGTGCACTCTGTGCTGCTTCTTTAGACCCCAATTAACCCTGACATGGCTAAACGGCAGCATATGAGGAGGCTCACTAGTGAAGACTTTAAACTAGCTTTAGTCTAGAGTTAGGATTGATTCAAACCTACATGATAGTTTTCTGGATTCAGATTGAGCATCTGAGTCCTTCAAATCATTTTTGGTACCCCTAAAAGGATTTTCCATGGAGAATTCTTATTGACAGTGTCCAGGGTCACTCTTAATCTGTGTCCAGAAATCTGCCTCCACACGTCTGAGAAGATGCATCTGAAGGTGTCGAGCACTGATCACTGAGCCAAACCAAAACTTTCCAAAACGCCTCTTTTTGGAGGACATAAAGCTTCTGACTCATAATGTGTCTTCATTAATCTGTTTTATTCTAATGTCTGTTGGCACAATGTATGCAACGAAAGTAACGCAAACTACTCATTTTCCCACTTTACAGATCTTTTCACTTGATTCCAAAGGCAAAAAAGGTTAGAGAAACAATGATTCAACCTCAGCCTAA